ATACCAACTCCTTCCCATCTTCACTTCTCTAATCAAAACCTGGAGGCTGACACATGTATATCTCCTCTGCTAGCCTTCCATTGAGGAATGCATTTTTTATGTCAATTTGTCGAAGTGGTTAACTTTCATGACAACAACGGCCAGTATAGTTCTTATTGTACTCTCTCAAACTATTGGACTAAACGTCTCGAAAAAATCTCTCCCCACCATTTGAGAGTACCCCTCGGTCACTAGACGAGCCTTAAGCCTGTCAACTGACCCATCAGGTTTCTTCTTCACTTTAAAAAAACACTTCCAGCCTATTGTTTTGTGTGCTGGTGGAAGAGGCTTTAACTCTCACGTACCATTCTTCATAAGAGCAGTATGTTCACTATGAACAGCTTCACACCAAGCAGGATGCTACAATACTTCATAGACATCCGCTGGCTCTTGAGGACTTGTATTAGCAAACAACACTCTAGGTTTAAAAATGCCAGCTTGCCACGAGTGACCATGGGATAAGCATTTTGAACTAGCCGAGGTGGAGATGATGGTGGTGATGATGGTGGAGGTAGAGGTGGAGATGATGGTGATGATGAAGCAGTAGTTTTAATTGATTCTGAGGTGAATGGATGAGATGGATATGTGTTGAATTATTGTGATAAAGATGATTCATGTGGAGAAGATGATGATGTTGATGGTGTAGAAGATTGTAAATATGAATGGGATAAATTTGATGAATTTGAAAGAAGAGATGGATATGTGATGAAGATGATTCATGTGGTGAAGATGATGATGTTGATGGTGTAGAAGATGGTAAAATTGACTTGTGGTTGTGTGATAGTAGGGAAGGAAAGGAAAGAAGAGTAAAACAAACTATTTTGAGAACAAATATTATTGACACTTGAGTGATTTCGACTGTTTGTTACTGACAGACTAGAAGCATTAGGAAAATTTTGGTGTTGCTGATAAAGAAATTTATTTTCTTCAAATCGAACATGTCTTGACACATAGACACGACCACTAGAGTCTAAACACTTATATCCCTTATGAGAAGGTGAACACCCTAAGATAACACAGGTAGAAGAACAAAACTGAAACTTGTGCTGATTATAAGGTCTTAAAAAAGGGTAACATTTGCAACCAAAAACTCTCAAAAAACTGTAATCTGGTGTTTTATGAAAAATTTTCTCATATGGTGATATACCCGATATCACTCGTGTGGGTAACCGATTATTAAGAAATACAACACTAGAAAAAACATCATTCCAAAAGCTTAAAGGCAAAGAAGCCTGAGCTAGCATAGAAAGACCTACCTCAACTATCTATCGATGCTTTCTTTCCTCTAAACCATTCTATTCTGAGGTATGAGGACATGACAGTCTTTGTATTATACCTTGCTCTTTCATGTAAGCTTGAAGAGCACCAAACTCACCTCCTTCATCTGACTGAAAGACCTTGAGTTTAACACCAAATTATCTTTACACCTGTCTATGAAACAGAAGAAAAACAGATTTAACATCATATTTTAGTTTCAAGAAATAAATCCAAGTATACCTACTATGAGCATCAGTAAAGGCAACATAAAACCTAAACCCATTAGAATACACAGGAGCAAAACCCCAAACATCTAATACTATAAGCTCTAATGGTTGTTTATAAATAGTGAGTGAGTCATAAAAAGACAGCTTGTATGATTTAGCAAGTTGACATGCTTGCATAACATTTGTTCATTATTTTATCAGAAAGAGTTACATTGTAATGTTTTAATGCATAAAGTAACACTTCTTTAGAAGGGTGGCCAAGTCTTTTGTGCCACATATCTACAAACACCCTAGTATTTACAATGTGACAACTTATTGAAGACAAAGAATTATTATCAGAATTATTAATATGCAACTCATCACCAGCAGTCATGCAATTATTATCAGTGTTATTCATGACAATATTGAGTTTGTACAGTCCTCCATCTTGACTTCTTTTTAACAACACTTTTCGAGTATGCAGGTCACGAACATGATAGAAATTAGGGTAAAATTCAATTAGAACATGGTTCTCCTGAGTAAATTTGGACTGTAGAAAACTGATGAACTTGAGGGGCTGTAGAAAACTGATGAACTTGAGGGGTTGTTGGTGAGTGTGTATAATACACTGAATTATAAGGGTTGATGTTATCATTGTTGGGATTATATGAACTGACATTGGCTTGAATACCAGGATGGCCTTTGCTATTACTATTTTGTGCAGGTCGAGAAGATTCATTCTTATAACTCATGTCAAATCTGTAATAGAATCTTTCAACAATATGTCCCATTCGACCACACAATTGATACTGTGATCTAGAGGATGAAAAACGTCCTCGACCTCTATCCCTATTACTGATGTATTATTACTGAAGTTCTGACCAGTGTTATCACCAAGTTTACCCTTATTTTGATACTCAGAATATGAAGCATTATTAGAAGCCTCTTGATCATTTGTAGCTTGAGTAGTGATATGTGCACAAGTTGTGACATGATTAAAAGATTGTGTCTGTCTTGTGTCAACATCCAGTAATATGGTGCTGACAGACCTTAAATCTGGAGGAGTAGGAGTAACAGTTATGACAGTAACAACTGACTCAAATTCAGGTGGCAAACCATTCAATATAGCAGTAATATGCTCATGTTCTGAAATTATCTCACTATAGCTAGCTAAATTGTCACATACATATTTGATTTTCATCAAGTACTTTCACATACTCAGATCTCCCTTTCTCAGAGAATGAAGCATTCTCCTATAGGACATTAATCTAGAGGTAGTTTTGCCACTATATAACCTATGCAAAGTATTCCAGATCTCAGCAGCAGTATTGAGACCTATGAGATGAGGTAGAACCTCCTCACTAACACTGGAGAGAAACCAGGAAGCAAAAGCTCCATCTTGCTCTTCATAAAGCTCATGCTCAGGATTTAGACTAACAACACCGTCTCTAGTTACATACTGTGTAGGCCAAGAGATGTTAGAATCTATGTACTTTTGAAGCTTATGAGTTTTAATAGTAAGGAAGACTTGTTGATGCCATAACAGATAGTTGCGGTCGTCTAATGTCACATTTAACAAAATTAAGAGTACTGTCGTCACAGTATTTTTCATATAGGGAACAAACAGGCAGAAGGCAAACACACAAGCTTTCAACCAGAACATAATAGGAATAGCAAAGTACAAAATGTAGTATGCCAGTTCAATCGAGAATAGTAAAAGAACAATCTCACCAGAATCGAAGAGCAAAAATCGAAGAGGAACAGCAGGGAAGAGGATGCGATGAATCAGCCTGAAACTGAAGGTCCAAATCGACAAGCAACCGGAGAGAAAAAAGTAACAAATTACTCTGAGAACAAACAAAGGAGGAAATCCGCTTCGACAAGAATCAGGAACGCATCATTAGGGATTTAGCACTAATTTGGAAAATTAGGTCAATCGAAAAACGAAAAAGAGATCCACGCAGAACGAAAGATAAAAGGTTGCAGGAATTTTAGGCGAATGATACCATGACAGGAAACTAACAAAGTAGTTGTTGTAATCTAGCTATGGAAGTCTGGTAGAGAAAGAGAGAAGTAAGAACGAAGAGGACAAACTATGATTACTAAAATCAAAAGAATTCAGAGTTTCTGGAAAATACAGATATTCTCATGGATCATGAATAGTGGACAGACCCACTATATATAACACCTAAGGCTAATCAATCAGCCCAACTGACCAACCCAACAGAATAGACTCAGTTACAAACAACAGATTAACCAAAACAGTTATAACAAACTAACTGTTACATAACACTCTAATAATAACGTTTCCAATTTCAACTTATACGTTATAACATTATAAATAACGTTTTTAATTTATAATTTTTTATCGATCACGCGGCTTATTACCCTATTTTAGGCGCCTCACATTCAGTGAGAACCTCCATCGAAATAACTAATGCGATGTTTATAGAAATTGAAATTGCATTGCATGCATGCATGGCCAAAAGAAAGCACATACACGTGCAGTACTCGTAGAAGTACAACGGCTCGCTTTGGTCCAACGTCATGGCCCTCTCGAATCTCGGCCGTAAGCCAAGGGCCAGTGCGCCACGTAGCACTCCACCCCAACCGCACCTCTTCGCCATATGATCAAAATCCATAGCCATTACCCCCTCCCCATTTTTTATTCATATTTTTTTCTTCAATACAAAAGTAAATCACAAATCTTCTCCCACGAACAATTTTCCAGTTTCCATAAAGGTAAGCTTCTTATGTTTTTCTTTGGTTTTGATCTTCTCAGCTGTTTCCTCTCGTTCTTATCTCAAATGGGTTCCAACTGTTTCATCCATTTTTTCCTCCGTGGTTTCTGGAAGATTGTTTTGATTCATTGGATATAATTTCTGGGTTTAATTTTTTTATTTATTCCTTGAACGTTTTGTTTTTGATGTGGGTTCTTTTAGGTGCAGTAATGATTATTTATGTTGCCAAATTCATTGATCAAATAAGTCCAGTTTGCTAAGGAACAGGCTTCAGAAGGTGAATTTCTGGTTCAAAAAGCTTTTAGTTTCCTATGATTTGTTTATGATCAGATCATATTTCGCTGTACTTTTTCCGGAATGCTGTTGAATTTCATTCCTTTTTCATTGAAGAATCATAATGGTATCCAAATTACAACATTTTATGGAAAATTTTGAAAATTTTCATATTGATTAAATAGTTGAAAAGGTTGACACTTGACATCATTCAATTTGACAATTCTTGAAGGAAAGAATATCTATTTATTTTGTTGTATTTAATTTTATCATCTTACGACTCAGAATATATGATTTTCTTTTTGTTATCATTAATTACTCTTCGATATCTGCTATTAGAGTACACAATGATTCAGTTATGACATTCACTGGTCTTTTTGTTATCATTCAATTTGGGTTCTTTCCGAATGCCGCATGCCACCGTTTTCAATATATACTTCATTCATGGACCTATAGGTCCAATTCTGCCATTTTGACCAGCTGAGCTTTGTTAACTTCGAAAATGTCATCTATACAATTGAAACGAGGAGCTAGCGACAAGTCTTTGCCCCCTGTCGAACAACAAGCAAAGGTACATTTTAATTGCAAAATTCTCAGAACTAAATCGACTATATTGTGGATTGATTTAATAGTGTCACTGGATGAGTAACCATATTATAACTTTTGCTTTATCATTGAGCTACTATTGATAAGAAAATGAAGCCTTCCATGTGCTTCTAGTGATATCGATGGACTTGTCTTCTGCTATTATCTCAGGCAGGGTTCAGAACAGAAAGCAATAAGAAATTTTCTTATGCATTTGATTTCATGAACTAATGATCATTTCTAGTCCATAGAGGCTTTAAGCTAACCGTGAAACAATCCATGTAGCTGTCTAATATCTCTGTGCTTTAGAGGTTCTATAGCAATGGAAACGAAAACTGGGCGAATCAAGTTATTATTCCAAAAAAAGGGTGAATTTTTTTATAGAAAAAACACTATGAAATCAACATAGCATGCCTTTGTTAATGCACATAGTTTCAAATGATTTGAGATACAGAGTAGTACTTCTATGCTATATTAATTGGACTAAGATGCGAGTGTTGAACATGAGTATGTATGACAGATATGTCCAACATTATTCTTAGGTCCCATTTATCTAGAGAGTTTTTGGAGTATCACATCCCTATATCCATGTTAAGATATGTGTCGGATACAGATATTGGACACATATACAGCTATGTTGCTGCCCTTAGTTGTCAAAAACAATGGAGCCTTAAAATAAGAATACATCTCTTGGATCCAACACAAATTATAGATGTCACAACATATTCTTATCATATGGAAAGCCTAAAGAACAGAAAATTTAAATCACTCAATTCATGGCTTTTTATGCTAGTATTAGTTTCAATCCATCGTTTATGTTTCCTAATGGGGTAAAGAATCATAATATGATGATGATGATGGAAGCAAAACAAACATCAGTGACAACTGAACTGGTGATTGTATAATGACGGTGTCTTAAGTCTTTTCCCACTAGATAGTTATGTAAACATCAATTGGGTTAGTACATGTCAGATATAAGTTGGAGTTGCAGAGATAAGTGCTTACGTATTCTCACCAGCTTTTGCATGACGCTGTAAACCAAAACAGTGCACCCCGATGTTTCAAAAGCTGTGATCATAATTTTGTTTCTTATTCTAACCCGAATTAAAAGAACATAATTTATATCATCTTATACTTTATTATCACCGAAATGGTTGATTGCAGAATTTTAATTGAACTGACTATTCTCCTAATAATTGATTCCCGTCACTTCAGATTGATGATGTTAGGAAACTAATTGGCCCAGTAGATGACAAACTACCAGAACTTTGTTCGGAAGCATCAATATTAAGATTCCTCAAAGCAAGGAACTGGAGTACAAAGAAGGCAAGCAAAATGTTAAATGAAACGTTGAATTGGAGACTTCAATACAAGCCAGAGGCAATCCGATGGGTTTGTATCCTATTCCTTCCAACCGAACATTTTTGCAATGAATTTCGTAAACATCTGCAAAGTCACACACTACCGCACTTTACTAATTAAGTTATTGTTAGAGATTAAACAGGTTTGTTTGATCTGTTCAACTGCCTCAGTCTGCGGGTTGACGTTAGAGTAGTTTCAGAAATGGATCTCTTGATAACTATAATTAATGGTTTTTTGTGAGATTGAGCTTTTTGTTAGCCATACTTTCCCTCTTGACTCTTAGTGTGAAGTTTGGCACACATCATTATCTCGCTGAGACTAACATTTTCTTTTGCCTATAGGAAGATATTGCTCAAGAAGCCGAGACAGGGAAAATTTACAGAGCAAATTACTGCGACAAACTTGGGAGGCCTGTTCTTGTCATGAGACCCGGTCTCCAGGTATTAACTCAATGAATTATCTAGCTTTTCATACGTTGCTATTCTACTTTTTTTTATGTTGTGATGATTATCATCACGAATTTGGACAAGTTCTCCCTTTTCAGAATACAAACTCACCAACGGGGCAGATCAAATACTTGGTTTATTGCATAGAAAATGCCATAATGAATATGGCTCGAAATCAAGAGCAGATGGTTTGGCTTGTTGATTTCCAAGGGTGGACAATGGCAAGCATATCGGTTAAGGTGACAAAGGAAACTGCTAATATCTTGCAGGAACACTATCCAGAGAGACTCGGCATAGGAATCCTCTATAATCCACCAAAAATATTTGAATCTTTCTGGACGGTATGTTGTTACTTTCTTACTCTTCATTTCAAACAAAAAAATTCCAACAACTTTGTAGTTTTTCAATCCAAATATGCATATTTCTGTAGTTTTATAATTATCATTTAAATGATATGCACACTAGCCACTACGTATGCACTTGTATGTTGAAGATTAGCAAGACAAAAGCTGTAAATTAGACGCTTGTGCTTGCAAGCTCATTGGGTACGTGAATTTGACTCGGTTATTGTCCGAGCAAGCTCGAGCTGTCGAACGAACTGAATTTCAGTACCATAATGATCGACTCGACTAGCTCACAAGCCTGGTTGATCTTTTTCTTTTTGAATTAGTATTGAGAATTTTCAGTTCAAACTTTGAGTTTTTGACTTTGAAGTCAAGCATGGGAATCGAAACGAGACTAATCAAGAAAGCTTGAACAGTTCAACCTTTATCTCAAATTGAGATCAATCTTTCAAAGTGAAACTCAACTGAGCTCAAGCCAAGTTTTGAGCTTTGAATTTCAAGTCGAGCTTCTTATAGCTTGAACTCGATCAGTTCGATTATACCCCTCAGATATACCATACATATGAGATAGAAGTGTGCTTAGAAATCCCTGTGTTGTGTAAATTGAGGAAAAACAACATAGTTGAAACTCTCTTTGTGATGCTCATTGGTTTACATGATATTGATGTGGTTTGAAACTCCGTGACAGATGGTAAAGCCATTCCTTGAGCCTAAGACACACAAGAAAATGAAATTTGTCTACTCCGATGATCCAAAGAGCATGACAGTTGTTGAAGAAATTTTTGATTTGAATGTACTGGATGTTGCATTTGGTGGGAGAAGCGCAGCCGGATTCAATTACAAAGCATACGCGCAACAGATGAAGGAGGAGGATGTCAAAAGGTTGAATTATGTTCGCTCCGGTTGTTCATCGCCATATTCTTATCCTTCATCAAGTTTGTCAGAATCACAACGAGAGGCGATGGATTTAGATCGTGATTCTAACGCCTCGAATGAAGGCAGATTATCAGCCGTCGAGGAACAAGTACAACAAGCAAGTTGACGGAAAGATTCGATCCGGTCTCGAGCTTCTTAGTGGTACGTTCAAATCCAGTTTGGAGTTAATTCCATTAATCTTTTAACATTTTGAGCAATCAAATTTCATATGCAGATAGTGAGAATGGCTTCAATCTTTCAATGTAACCAACGGATTAATGAGCAATCAAAAATTTAACTTGTTTTCGATACGGTTGTTGTCAATAGAAAATGTCGACATAAATACTGATGTGAAATGTTTATCCAAAAACAAATTAAGATTTCGTAATTACAATCACTGTAACAGTTAAATCTCTGATAACAAAGCGGTAGCCGAGTTAAATTCAATAGTGGAAAACAAATTAAGTTCACTTACTATTATTAAAAATTGAATTATGTTAATGAAGATTGTTATCATTGAAAATGATAAATAATGTGTTCAGATATAAATTTATATGATTCTTTATTTAATTATAAAATATTTTTGTTATGAAATATTAATACAAAATTATTTTAAAATTTCAAAATTATACTTGACCATGAAAATGATATTTCAATTTCCTATGTAAGAATGAGTCAATATTTTATTTTCCTTTGCTCACTTAATTAATTAAATAGAGAAAGACTAAATAAACAAGTGAGACTACTTTGGCTGGGCCGGCATCGGAAATAAATAAACTAATTAGTATATTCTATCTTGCAGGAAAGAAAATAATACATTTTTCGGTTTTAATCGAATTAACTGATCGAATCGAATTAGTTCGGTTAATTCGGTCGGCCACCGAATTAGTTCGGTCAGAGAACGATTAATAATTTTTTGAAAATTCGGTTAATGGTTAATTCGATTCGAAATCAGTTAATTAACTGAATTAACCGAAATTAAATTTTAAATATATTATATATAACATATATGCTCAGCCTAAACCATTTAAAACCCAATTAATAATTTAAGATTCAATAACTTTTAAACCTAAATCAATATTAATTAATTAAAAAATCTAGATATTATTTAAATTAATTGCAAAATGTTTTTTTTGAATTAAAAAATATTCAATTGTTATATAAATTAAAAAATTTTAAATTTTTTATTTAATTCAAAATTTGACCTAATTAACCGAAATTTATTCGATTCAATTAATAATTTTCAAATAAATTTCAATTCGGTTAACGATTAAAAAAGTTCGAACATCCCTAATAATACAAAACAAATGGTCGGTTGAATGTTTGTACTTTTGTCAATATTTACCAGGTTCTTTTACAACATATTAAAACTATAAAAAATATAGGCAAAATTTTTCATAAGTCCATGTACTTTTTTAAAAAAATTAATGTGGTTCTCGTATTATTTTTTTAAGATGGTTATTTAATTTAGAAAATAAATCTACTATAATCTTTAGATAAATATTTTTTCGTCGTGATCGTTACAAATGTATGAATTATATTTGGGAAAAATTGTAAACACCCAGACAGAAGGGTACTACAAATGTTTTCCTAAAGATACTTGATCTGTTACAATAGTTGTAACACATTGGGTATGTACACAATTTGACTCGTATGTTTTGTTGGGTACAAATTATGGGCAGAATTGAAAGGGTGGCCAAGTTATGAGAAGATACTCTCTCGCTTACTGGATTGCGATAACTCTCTTTGCTGATTCAAAGTCTGTTTGTATAAAAAAAAAATTGAATTTCAGAAAAAGTGAATCAAACTCTTGCCAACAACTTCTTCGCTGTTTTGCTAAGGCATCAAAAAGTAAGCCAGAAAGAAAGTGAAAAAACAAAGCACGAAAAGCTGACCCCCCCCCCCCCGGGCAGAGGATACCATTGTTTTCTTTGGTTTTAACTGCCGATCGCTTTGTGTTTAACCCATTTTGAAAATCCCATTGGTTTCAATTTCTCAAACTTCAAAGACCTTGGTTTTCTGAGTTTTTCCAGGCTGGGTTTGTTATATCTTTCTTGAAAGTTTTAGTTTTTATGTCATTGAGAAATTTTCACCTTTGCTTTAAATTTCTCTTTACTGCTGAAAAACTCTTAATTGCTGTTTTTTCAGCATTTGGGTTGATCTTTATTTAGTTGCTCTGTTTCATTTTTCTAGCTCTAAGGTGAGTCACACTTAACTTTTGTGATGAATTTGCTTCCTTTGGATCTGATGGTTTGTTTTGTTTTTAATTTGCTATTTTTTTTCTTTTTAAACAGATTGGAAATTAAGAAGAAATAAATTTATATATATACATATAGAGAGAGAGAGATGGGGCTTGAAAGAATGGACTTTGGAGTTAAAGTTAGGAAATTTATGTTGATGTCAGTTAAAACATGTCGTAGTTTTGTTTGTAATCATCCGTTTTTGCTTGGTTTGGCTTTCTTTTTAATATTTTTGTATACATCATTTCCATTGTTGTTTTCCTTTATGGTTACTGCGTCTCCTGTTTTGGTTTGCACTGTTGTCTTGCTTGGTACCCTTTGAGTTTCGGGTCACCAAACATACTGAAATGGGTGAACAAGAAGAAGAGAATGATACTCCTGAAGTTTCACCATTGAAAACTAGGGCTGCGGAGGATGATACTGTTGTCAAAAGTGATTTTACTGATGATGGTTTTGTTGTACAAAGACATGTAGAGAAGGGGCGGGATATAGTAGAGAATGTCGATGAGAAAGTGACTTTAGTCGATAATCAGGTCAATGGAGTTGGGGAAGGTGATGGTTCGGTTCTTTATACACCGTTAGTCAATGATGATTTGGATTCTAGGGATATTCATTGTGAGAATGGGGTGATTGATGAGGTTGAGGGACTGTTGAGTCATTCTTTGCTGGAGAAAATAACTGAAATTCGGGGGGAGATGCTAGAGAGTGGACGGCTGTCAAGCATGAGGGAGGCTGAGGAGAGTCAACATCTTTTGGCAGATGAAGTGGGAGATGGGAATGTTGAATTGGTTGATGGTAAACTCACATCTGATATCATTGATCGTCCAAGGGGTGGTGAACTGGATTCTTCTTTGGCGTTTTCTTGGCAAGGTGTTGCGGGTGATGAGGATGCTGGTGATGGTGGTAATGACAATGATGATGAAGATGACAACGACGATGAAGAATCTTCAGATTCTGGTTCTGATGTTGCTGAGAGTTCCTCTCCTGATGCTTCACTGGCACATATAAGTCTGATGCTCGTTTGTCTTGTGATGGTTCGGATGCTGCCTCAGAGAGTTCTCATGGTAGTAGTAATGATGAAAGTGTTGAGTCAGATGAATTAGAAAAATGAGGGAGAGGGAGATAATGATGAGGTGGGAGTAGGAGCAAAGGGAGATAAAGAGGATGAAAGTAAATCTGCGATTAAATGGACAGAGGATGATCAGAAGAATCTCATGGATTTAGGGACTTTAGAGGTTGAAAGAAACCTACAATTGGATAAACTTATGGCAAGGAGAAGAGCCCGGAAAAGTATGAGATTGATGGCCGAGATGAATCTAATAGACTTAGATGGTGCTGATATTCCATTAAACTTGGCACCAATTTCAACCTCAGGAGGTAACCCTTTTGACCTTCCATATGATTCCCACGGCGACCTCGGGTTACCTCCCATTCCTGGGTCAGCTCCATCCAATTGGCAGCCCCGAAGAAACCCTTTTGATCTTCCTTATGACTCGAAAGGAGACAATTTCCATGAAGAGTTTTCAGATTTTAATCAAAGGGGAACTGTTTCCCAAAGAGATGCCTTCTTCTGCAGACATGAAAGCTATAATGTTGGATCATCTTCTTTAGGTGTTCCCCGGCAAGAGCTTAAGTGGAAACATTATTTTGTTCCAGAGCAATTACTATCGAAAGGAGCAAGCCCTTCCTTATTCCAGAGGCAGTCTAGTGAAGTTAGCGAGTCAAAGTTGAGCTCCGTTCCTGATTCTGAGTCAGTGAGTTCAGTTGTGGATGAGGTGGACAACAAACCAAATAAGCAAGATGCTTCTCTAGAAACTGAACTGATATCGAATGAAGATCTCGCTTCTGGCGATGGTGAACAAGAGAGTCATTCTGCTGACGAAGTTGAGTCTGTGGATGTTGACCAAGTTGAGAATAGAGATATTCCGCATGATGTGGTTGAGATAACATTGGGAGATGGAGCTCCAGAAATTACTCATGTGGAATTCAATGCAACCGAAATTCATTCCAGAACTAAACCAGGTGAGGAGGAGGATAACAGTAGATCAAGTTTGTCATCATTATCAGAAATTGATGAAAAGATATCAGGGGAGACAAATTTGCAGGTTTTGAACCCAGAGATCATGAACTTAATGAATCTGACATCTCTAAACAACCATCGTTTGAGGAATCAGAGTTCCATTGTACAAGTGGGGTACTGGGTGATAATCAACACACAGAGCCCATTTTTTATTCTAGTTTTCACCCCCCATCAGTTGAGATGTTCCTCTCAGTTTTGTCTGTCGCTTCTGACACACAAGCTGAGATATCTGAAATGGGTTCACCCTCAATGTTGGTTGAATCTATTGATAAGAAATGTGAAGCACATTCTGAAATGGCTGAGCAGGATACTTCTAGTTTCCATGAGATTCATGCCTGCTCCTCAGATTTACTTAATGTAAATGAACAGAAGGCACGAGATCTGCTAGAGATTAGTGAGCATGATGTTACTTTTAATGGTTCAACAGGGGTTTCTGCCACTTCTTCTGACCATAATGTATCAACGGTGCATGAGTCTGTTGTTGAATATGTTTCAAGAGGGGCATGCTCATCTTCGGATGAGAGCTTAGAGGAAGATGTGCCAAATAAGGAAGAAAGCTCTTTCCAGAAGAACCAGGTGGACTTATTGAGCATTGGTGCAGAGATTACTCTTGCTGTTAACAAAGGAATGAGTGGAGTGGTGGATCCTTCACCTGAAGAACAAGAACATGAGATGCACCCTGATGAATCCTTGGAGGCTGAAACGGTGACTAGGCATATAGTTGAAAAGGAAGACTCTCTGTTTGAGCAAGATGAACTCATCCAGACTCAGTGCAATCAAATGCATTTGTCGAACTTCGATTTAAATCTTGATGTTGATGGTCACCATGATAAAGGCGAGGAGTTGTCTTCAATGGCTTTGACATACCAGCATATGCATTCCAATGATGTAATTTCATCCACAGCAGAGGAACCAGGGTACATAGTCGTGGCTCAAGTTCAACAAGTTCACCCATCAGAGGCTAACCTCAGGAAGGAGAATGAAAAGAAATCTGAAATGGATCAAATCCATTCACCATTTTCTGTTTCAAAGACTGGTACAGCTCCCGACTCCGAGATGAGTGTGGAGGGAATTCCTTCACTCTCTTGTTATCAAGACATTTCTTCTAGTGAAAACCCTTCATCAGAATCAAAGAAACAGCTGCAGTTGTTCGATGAAGATGAACTGCCCGATGATGAACATGATAAGCAGCTTGAGGTAAGTTATTCAATCACTTCTATCTGTTTAAATTTCCTTTGCCCAAGGAATTGTCATACTTCTTTGAAGAATAATATTATCAATTGTTTTGTATATTTTGTCTTCAATAATTTATTTAATTTATTCAATACTAGTGCTTATGTTGGTCTCCCTAGATAAGACCCTCTTGTTATGATTTTTTCTCTTTGCTAGCTCAGATTCCGGTGGGAGTGAAATGATCTTCCGTCCTATTCTTCTTCATCTTCACCCCCTCTTTTTTACTGTGGGATTGATGACTGTATAATCTTTAATACCGTATGTACCAGAAGAAGAAAAAGAGTCGAGTTGAAAACAACAATATTATTTTTGTGTCAAATAATGATATTGAAGTAGCTAATCATGGATTATTTGATACTCGTATTACTGAAAATTAATATTTCACTGCAATGAGAGATTTACCTAGTCGGAAATATTGCCACAGCATGTATGATTAAATACCGCATTTTAGATGATTCAGTGCATTGTGTATGAGCAAATTTCCTTGGATATATTTGAATTTTCTCGGGAGGTGAATTATTTTATACTCTTTCTTTCACCTGCATTTCTTTTCATTTCATGCCAAGCATCTCAAATTTTATGTTTTCACATATCCGAATTATACTAAAATGTTGACCTCGGAACTAACTCTTACCGCTCTGATTTAGGAACCTTCTATAATTGCAACCGAGTCTAGAAGGGAAGCAAATGATGTCAACAATGACTTTCATATGCATGAAGATCATGATTCTGAGGACAAGCATTCAATAAATTTCTCTTCCATGACTTCAGAATCTACTTCTTTGCCTTCTGAGAGTCCCGAACATACGCTGCCAACAGATCAAGAAGATTTGAGGAGGGAGATCTTAAAAGAAATTGAAAGAGAGGGCCCCGACAAACACTTCAGTTATGTGGAAGTATATGCCCCTCGTGTTGATGAAGAAAATTATAGTGAAGTCAATGAGATTAAAGAAATGAAGCTATACTCTCTGAATTGGACACAGTTGAGGACTTCATTGTTGGGGAAATGGTTTTACCAGAGGGATCTCATGTCACCCATACTGAATCTGCAATGGTACCAGAAGATACAGGGATAAAAAAAGAGACTAATGTGGAGCTGCCTGTTCTTGAAGCAAGATCAGTAGAAGATCTTGATTTGGCTTTTAAGCAATTTCATGGAATGGATGCTGAGGAAGTATTTCTTCCAAGTTTGATTGAGAATCAGCCAGATCATGCAGATACCAAGTCAGATTATACCATTGTCAAGGCGAGATCTCTGGAGGATATACATAATGCTTTGCAACAAGGTCCAGTACCTAATCCAGATCATCTGCCACATTCCACAGACTTGAGGAACGTTTCATCAGAAGTAGAGCATCATGATGTGGTTTCTAACAAAGAGATCGAAATTAGTAATATCATCTCTGGTATTCAAGAAAGTTGTGAGGCTTCTAGTAAAGAGATTGAAGTTTGTAAGCCGGTTTCTGGTTTTCAAGAAATTCATGAGAACGCTGCTGGTGAACCGAAAATTGAATATGAAGAAATCGAGACGGAGGCCAATGTGGAGCTACCTGTTCTTGAAGCAAGATCAGTGGAAGACATTGACTTGTTTTTTAGGCAACTTCGTGAAGGAATTGACGTTGAGGAAGTAATTCTTCCAAGTATGATTGAGAATCAACAGGGTCATGAAGACACCAGTTCGGATTTGCCTGTTGTTGATGCGAGATCTCTAGAGGATAAACATAACACTTTAAAACAATGCCCCGAATCTAATCTATTTGAGCTGCAACATTCATCTGGAGCAGATCATGGTGTGGTTTCTATTAAAAAGGTTGATATTCAAGGAACAACTGAGAATACTGCTGGTGAGCCAAAACATGAATACGCAGACATGGAGGAAGTAGAGATGGAGACCAAGGTGGAGCTACCTGTTCTCGAAGCAAAATCAGTGGAAGACATTGATTTGGCTTTTAAAAACCTTCATGAAGGGGTAGATGTGGAGGAAGGAATTCTTCCAAATATGATTGAGAACCTACAGTTTCATACAGATATCGGTTCAATATCACCTGTTGTTGAGGCAAGATCCTTGGAGGATTTACATAGTTATTTCCAACAAGGTCCTGAATCTAGTCAGGCTAAGCTACCGCACTCTTCCAAGAAGCATGATGGAGTTAAAGAGATTGAAGTTGGTGAAAATGCAGTCTCTTGGATTCAAGAACATACCGAGAATGCTGCTGGTAACCCAACACAGGAACATGAAGAATCATCTGAAAAGTCGAATCTGAAAAAGGTAAAAAGACAAAATCCCACGACTCAAGTTCCAGTGATTCGGAATGAAAACAACAAAATATAGTTTGGCATTTCCAGTTTTCTTCTAAATATGTTTTTCCCCTTTCCTTTCCAGGAAGTGAACTTTGGGGTTTCATAGTCTTGTCTTCTTTCGTTGAGTTTTTGAATGATTGATTGAGTTCTTCGAGAATGAGTTTTGGCTTGATTCCTTTTCTTTCTCCTTTGGATCTTATTAAGTTAGGCAGTTTGAGGTTTAGAATTGATTGTGATCCTTGAAATATTTCTTGTAAATTATAGTATTCTGTTTGTGCAATGGATTTCCAGTTTCTCCTTTTTGATATTCGTTCTTACATGATTTATCATACCCGGGAGTTTAGTTGTGATACGGTACAGATGCTAAAACTGAACAAATTAACTTCTTAAAAAATAAACTTTAAAAGAATTACTATATGAAATTAAATTGGTTAACCTTGAATAATCAACCAATAAACTAAAATTTTATGTATTAAATTATTTAATAAAATATATATTCACATTTAATAAAATGTTTGATTAATATGAATATATTTTTTGTGTTAAATTTAAAATTTATTTAAAATTATAATATAATAGTTAGATGTGTATGTATACGAAAAAAAAATTAAAATACTTGTTATTCTTTGAGATCTCAAATTCGAGCATCTGAGAACTTTCATTGTTAAATTATTGTAAGTATTTGAACAAATACTACACTGTATCACTATAAATTTATCAAAAATAAATTATATTTTAAAAGCGTGTACTTATTCAATTAATGTATTTAATCAAAATCACGGAAGTTATATTTGGTCACCCAACTTTTGAAACTTACAATACAGCCATAGGACTTTTAGTTCGTTTTTATTTTGATCATTATCGTTACCTCCTGTTACCTTTTGCTGACATGACACTTAATCCTGTTAACTCCCTCCTCTTCTTCTTCTTCCTTGCAACTGCTTATTCTTCCTCCTCCTTATTTTTCTTCTTCCTCCTCCTTGCAACAATTTTTTTTTCTTTTCGAACCTTGAAACACCATAGGAGAAAATGGGTAAGCTCCCTTTTCCAACTTCTCTTCCATTCTTTTCTTTCTTCTCTTCAACACTTTGTAAGTTGTTTCTTCATCCGGAATCGGCTCATAGGTTTGAACATTCAAGTTAAAACTCACTTTCTTCCTGATTTTAGCACTCGATCTCTGCTTAGCTTTATTTTGTAATGTTTCATTTAGAGAAACACATTCATAAAAAATCAATTGACCTTAACTGAGATTTCTTAGTATCATAAGAATCCAAGGGTTCATTGCTAACAAGTCTATGCAATAACAACCGGTAAATATAAAAAAAAAAAACTGGAACTTTACTGAAGCATTATCCAAAACACACGAAAAATGAAAAACTCATGAATCTGCAGGTCCGGGGAGAATCCGATTGACTGGTTTTCGACGTTTTCTTTTAGTAGAAATCCCAAAACACCCAAGGAAACACCCCCATTGTAAAAAGAACAGTTTAAAAGAAGATAAACAAGTAAAATTTTGTTGCAAGGATGATAATACCATTCAGTTCTCAGAGACTAGCAATCCAAATAGTTATGGGAATAACTATTTTAATGAAACAGTTTCGAAAAGAAAGAAGAAGAAGGGGAGTTAACATGGTTAAGTGCCACTTCAGCAAAAGTAACGGTAGGTAACAGTAGGGATCAAAATAAAAATGAACAAAAAGTTTGGTGATTGTATTGCAAGTTTCAAAAGTTTCATGTCCAAAATGAAGAGAGATAAATGTTTAGGGACTATTTATAAATTTTACCCTTTCTTTTATTTGAAATTCTACTATCAATTAATATTATTTTAAAGTTTTTTTAACATTTTATTTAAAAAACTGTGTTTTATTAGGAAGTATGTGTTTGCATTTCGTATTTTATTTATGGGTAAACTACGCCAATGGTCACTGATGTTTGGGTAAGTTTTTGTTTTCACCACTAATGTTTCAAAAGTTACAAATAGGTCACTAACATTATCGTTTGTGACAAAATGGTCATTGGCCGTTAACAGCCGTTAAGAGGCGTGACGAAAAATACAACTGGACCGTTATCTGTTGAGTTGGATCGTTGACCGCCATTTTGATTGGCTTTTCTTCTTCTCCAACCCATTCCCTATCTTCTTTTTCTTTACCTTTCCCCTCGTTCATTTTCTTCACGAATCCAACAAAGCGTCTCCAGTTTTCTGGATGAAACAACGATGGGTTCATCCTTAAGTACGTGAATGCACACATCTCTCTATCGAACGGATAGCCATCAACATCCAACGATGACGCTTGTAAGATCTGCTCGTGGGCGTATTCATTGTAACGGGGAAGTGCATTCTCCCCGGCAAGTGGAACTTGCGCTGATGCAGTAGCAAAAGCTACTTGCTTCACCAGCTTCTCAGGTGCACATAGTGCATCTTGAGGCTGCTCATGATCACGCATCTCTATGCAAGTGAAGTTGATAACGGCACCATGACGTGCTAGCATTTGAGCAATCGAGAGGTAACCGTCTCGGTACCTTGTGTTATAGTACCCTGTTGTGAGTTCAGGAGCATGGGATCGGGTTCCGTAATGCCAGTGGATTCTAGCAATTTTCACAGAGATCTTCACACCTTTGCCGTCAAAAATCGATGTCGCAAACGATAGAATTCTCTCACCGTGTTCCAACAGCATCTGAGAATACCAGGAAAGGAAGAACTCGCCATAGACACTATTCTAACCACCACCTTCTTTCTTGAAAAAATTTACTGCATGGAAGTCGGTAATAAAATCGGTTTGATAGCTCATCCTAGTTCCTTACACCCCCGGTCCGCGGAGATGCCTCGAGTGGAACCCTGGGGCGCTACCTGGCAAGGAGGATCGTGGAGATTGGTGTGAAAGACGTGTTCTCAGTTCCTGGTGACTTCAACTTGACTTTGTTGGATCATCTAATAGCAGAACCTGAGCTGAACTTAGTCGGATGCTGCAACGAGCTTAACGCCGGATATGCAGCCGATGGCTATGCGCGTGCTAAGGGCGTGGGAGCCTGCGTCGTCACTTTCACTGTAATTTGCTTGGAATTCCTTACATTGCTAGAGAGCCAGTGCCCTTCTTTCTTGCTCCATTGTAAAGTTCTTCTCTGACTTCCCTTTTTTTACAACTTTATTGGTAAAAGATTAATTTTTCATAAAAAATAATTTTAGGAATGAATGATGGGTTATATAATCTAACAGTACGTGATAGAGATAAGGACTGGTTGATTAATCGGCGGGCGGGTGTCGGGTACTGATTGGTTTTTGTTTTAACATTGAATAGGATTTCTTGCATTTATTCTCGCACAATCAAAATCTTGGAAGAATTTTGTATCATGTATGACTCGTTTTCAAATATCTTCTCTCTTGAGATTTACAGCAACAAATATCGGAGCATAGGGCTCATACTGTGATGTCATGTCTTGTGAAAATGAGCAAATTAAGAGTTTTGTCACAATGAAGCCATGGAATGTTTCGACATGGAAGAGTTCTTTCAGCTTTTCATCACATATTACTTTACTTTTGTCAAACGGATCCTTCACCAAACAGCCAACAAAGTTTGAAAACATTTTAAACACGATACATTCATATATCCAACTTGGAAAATAACAGGCAGCTCCATAGAGCACTGGCAAAGAAACTGAGGAGAAATACCACTGCTGTGGAGAACTACCGACGGATCTTTGTCCCCCAGGCATGCCTTTGAAGCATGGGAATAATGAGCCTTAAGAGTGATAAGAGGATTGTGTCATGTGTGTGATAAGAGGAAAAGAAGAAAAGTGCAGAAAAGTGAAGAGAAAGAAAGAATAATAAAAGTGAAGAAAAAAGAAGATGGAGAATGGGTTGAAGAAGAAGAAGAGACAATCAAAATGGCGGTCAACAATCCAACTCAGAAAATAACGGTCTAGCTGTATTTTTCGTCACGCCTCTTAACGGCTGTTAACAACTAGTGACCATTTTGTCACAAACGATAACATTAGTGACCGATTTATAACTTTTGAAACATTAGTAGTGAAAAAGAAAACTTACCAAACATCAGTGACTATTGGCGTAGTTTACCCTTTATTTATTCACTTTTACGGAAGTCAATGGATTTAGAGCAAATAACAAATCCAGGAAGGAGAAGAAACCGGACAATAAATCTTCAAAGCTTAATATCCGTTTTCTTAAAACTCTCTTAATTAGTAAGCAAAGATTCAACTCAACTCAATTCGCTTTTTTTAATATTGTTGTGCTTTGCTTAGCGTCTAGGTTTTCCTCTTATACATTAAGGCTTCTGAAGATTCGGTTTCAGCAGCTCTCTTCAGCATTCGGGTTAGCTTTGTTTTTTTTTTCCCATTTTCCTTTGCTTTTAGTTTTCTTTTGGTTCATTACTTTTTATTTCTGGAAAAGTAATGAAATCGTTTTTTTCTCTGTGGTTTTTGTTTTCTTTTTTACTTTGTTAGTTTGTTATTCAAATTTTAAACCAAATCTGAACTTTTTATTAGAATTATCTTGTCTAATTTGAATGCTTCGTATCATTTGAAATTCTGATACTTGTTTTCCCCCCTCTTTACGGCAGTTTTGAGATCCAGATTTGTAGCTAATTGGAAAATTTGAAGATAATTTTGTTGTTGATCTAATTTCTTTAGTGCTAGTTGGATTTAGGGCTACTTTCTTGTTTAATCTATTATTTCAGTTTTGAGGATTTTGATATTAATTTTTCCCTCTGCTGGCTTTTAAAATGTTTTCAGGATTGAAGAAGAATTTAGTGCAAAATTTAGCCTGTAATTAATGAGGTCCAGCACTGTGAGAAGGCGGCTTCATCATGGGGATGTTGGAGATAGAAGGAATGAAAATTACGAGTCATCAGGATTGGATGGTTTAGATGAACCTTTGTTAGGGAATCATGATTACGATGACAAACATCCTGAGGTGATCATTTCGTTATTTTTGCCAATTATACCTGTTTGCAAGAGAAGGGATAGAGTATTGTAAATGTTTAATTTAGTTTGTTTGATTTGTTATAGGGGAAGATGACAGAGGAAATTTGGGATGACGAACGAAAGAAGGAACAGTTACATTGGACGCTTTTGTTCTCGAACTTGATCGCTCAATGGGCACAGTGGATAGGTGTGGTTTTATCATTGTGGTTTCTTACTTACATATGTGTGTTCTGTTGTTTATAATACATATAATTGTGTTTAACTTCGAAAGTTAGACCATTAAACTAATCAACGACTACCTTGGTTGCTGGTTTTTAATTCTGTTTCTTCCCATGGATTTTACACCAGTCGGCTTCAAATGGGTTTGAGAGAAAAAAAGAAAAGAAATTTGTAGGTTGGTGGTTTTGGTATATTATTCTTGCTCCACTCTATCCTGTCTCTCCTTTTAAATTATTATTTTACCCCTTAAAATATTCTATATTTTGTTTGTCTTTAATAGAGATATGCTGGATATATACTAAAATCATAATATATGCATTATATATTTGTGCCTTTTATATTATATATATTGAGTACAATTTTATATGGAAATTATGATCATGAATAATTGTAATATATGTTCCTTGTAATATTAAATAAAAAATCATTAGTACAGAGGTGAGGTTTATGTGTATGAAGAACAGATACATGGAATCGATATTTTCAATATTCATGCAAGAGCGGGGAGGAGGTGGATGAACCAATCTTCACTCCATTGTTATCTCTATTTTGTTGAGTATTTTGGTTTAGTGGAGTGGCATTTGGTTGTTTTTGAGTCTGCTTTGAATTTACTTATATTGGTGGGAGCCTTTAACATGTGTCCGGAGTCCTCCCTGTACATCACATTCTCTATGCATGTGCCAAAGATTCACCCAATAAAAGTACTGTTTTTTGGGTATCTTTCCATCAATGTAATTTATAGAAACACTTGCCCCCCTTACTATCTGTTTTACACCTGTACTCACTCATCACATGACTTTTTTTGCATCTTTCCATTTTTTTAACATTATAGCAGTTTGGGTTACTGATAGTTGAATCTTTGGCTTTTTCCAGCAAACATTGTCTTCGGATCTGGATCATTTATTGCACAATTTTTACCTCTTCATTCTAACACTCAGAAACTTATCGCGCCTACTCTTAGTTCTTTACAGGTATTATCGGCATTACACTTTTTTCATTGTAAATTTCTGGATCTGAATAAGCTTTTTATTTGGGGGTTGGGAGGGGTGTTTATATAGGTACAGCTCTAATAATCAACATATGTTTTTACCCCTCTGTTATTTGTTCTGTTTTTAATTTATTTTGGTCTTCTATTCCTTTAGTGGGCAAGAGGTAAGGAATCTTTTCCCGTCTTTTATGTATCCAAGAGGGGTTCAGCTAGGTTTTATCAATTTGCATCTTAAGGTCTTGAAGCATCTATTTATGTGCCCGTAATACAAAAAAATTAGCTCTAGTCATAGGGAAACAGACAAGCGTAATTCGGGGCTGAAAGAGAAATTCGTTTGAGTTTTGAAGCTTGTTCTAAGAATCTGCTTGGTGGTATTTGGAACTCACGGGTTGGAGGATTTTTTCTTGTAGATTTTTTTGTAAGAGTTGAGTCAGAAAATAGCACAAGTTTTATGTGCTTAGGTTATTTTGTGTTTGTCTTTGGAAAGAGCAAAAGACCTTGTTGTCACTGACCATCATGTTGACTTTATTATTTCTAATTTGTTGTGTATTGATGTTTCCATATTGTGTTCTCATAGGAAGCAAGGCTGAGAAATCTACAGCAAAGACTGGGAGTCCCATTTGATGGATCTCGGTTGGATCATCAAGTAGGTTTCACTGTAATCAATATTTAGTATGTTTGTTATTTTTTAATCCTTAGTTTTTCTTCCCATTTTTTTAAATTCATTTCTATGAATTATATTATGCATGAGACACTTTTTAATTAAAAGAATTTGCCAATTCCATCAAATTTCTTTTGTAAGCTAGCCACCGCCCATCAATACCAAGTATATGCAGGTGTTAGAAATTCCTATATATCACTGTAAGGCTGCTGATGACTTCTTTTTTCTTTCATTTGGCTTTTAGGATGCTCTGAAGCAGTTGTGGAGATTGGCTTACCCTAACAGGGTGCTTCCATCTCTTAAATCAGAGCTTTGGAAGGACATGGGATGGCAAGGCCCAGACCCTTCAACAGATTTCCGGTATGCCAAGGGTTTTGCCTTAACTGTTTACCTTGCACCCTTTTCTCTCCCTGACGTATATGCTTATTCTTGATTGTTTCGATGTTGTTCTAAGGGGTGGAGGATTCATATCATTGGAGAATCTCATATTTTTTGCTAAGAAATATCCGGTTTGTTTCTTTTTCCATAAATTGCATGGATTACATTTCTTTTGATTATGATCTATCATATGATAATGGGCTTCTTGCTTATTTCCTTATATTAACATATGCCAAACAATTATTTATACATCAGCATGAAATATAGCCAGGGTTGATCAAACTCTGATTTGGTCTTTTGAACAGGAATCTTTCCAGAGGTTGTTACACAAACAAGATGGAAACCGAGCTGATTGGGAATATCCATTTGCTGTTGCTGGTATCAACATTTCATTCATGTTGATACAGATGTTGGATCTGCAATCAGGTAATGTAAATTCAGGACTGGATAAATATTGAATGGTTGAAATAATAATAATAAAAAACCCTAAACTTATACCAGTTACCACATTTTGCAGATATTCCCGTATTTCTCTTTTTTTTCTTTGGTAGGATATGCCCCTATACTTTTGGTTATACCCAAACAAGCCCTCTACCTTTTAACATATACTGAAATAAGTTGCTCATCTTTTTTACTGAAATAAGCTTCTAAACTTTAATTTATACATAAATAAATCTTAGCATAAATCATCATCTCCTTTGAAACAAGGGTTTAATTAGGTACAAATTGAGATAAGGTGTGTCTGGGTATAATAAAAGTGTATGAGCTTGTTTACAAAACAAGTAATTGTACTTCGAAGGCTTTTTCAATATTTTAGCTATAATTGTGTTGCATGCTCATTTTTGTGCAATGTCCATTGCATCGGCTGAGATTTGTTATCGACACTTCTTGCTCAAATAATTGCCATTACGTTTCTACTCACTGGAAACTCGTGTGTAACAAAGTATATTTTCTGCCTTATGTTCGACTCTGTTGAATTTCAATGCTGTAATCATATTTTACCTGCAGGAAAACCATCTTCCATGGCTGGAATCCGATTTTTAAAACTACTTGGGGAAGATGAAATGGCATTCGATGTTCTTTATTGTGTAGCCTTTCAGATGATGGATGCACAATGGCTTGTGAAACGGGCTTCGTACATGGAATTCAATGTAAGCTATTTTAACATGTAGATCTTGAGCTTTCTACTTTTTTAATTCCATGGTTTGCATCTATGTTGCGTTGCAGTATATTTTTCTTGAGCTATTCGTGTTCAACACCAGAATTCAATATGACATAGACGACCTTCCTAAAATACTATAAATACATGAAAAGACAGAAATAGAACATATCTGTGTCGGATTGATGCTCCAACCTAGATCAAACACAAATTTTTTTGCAGGATGTTCTGAAGTCTACAAGAACACAATTAGAACGAGAGCTCTCACTCGAAGATGTATTCAGCGTGAAAGATTTACCGGCATACAATCTGTTGAGAAGGTAACGACAGTCGGAGAACATATTTGTTTCATCATTTAAAGCACATTTGGCATACATCATTCCTTTGTATGGAAGTAACAGACCGATGAAAATTGGGTATAGTTCATGTTGACTTTGGAAGAAGGTTAGAATTTGCAAATGCCCCCCCCCCCAACACGTAATATGATATTGAGATTTGTATTATCAAAATTCAATATACAAATGTGCCGTGTTAATTATATATTTGAATATTTTATTAGTCGTAATTTAAAAATATATATAAAAATAATTGAAATTATAGTCCATTAGAACAATGGATACAAGTGAGATACTTCGCACTTCATTGGACGTGAATATGTACATATTTCGTGGATGGTAGGATAGGGGTGAGAAAAAAATTGGATCCACGGTGTAAGGACAAACGGTTTTTTTCGCCCAATTTTATTTATTATTATTATTATTATTTTGGTAAAATAGAGCTTTCAGACTTTTAATTTGGGATCAATTTTTAATTTGGGATTTACGATATTTTCTATGGTACAGGGAAATTCGTCACCTTGAGGTGACGAGTTTCTGTGGATAATATTATTATATTTCGTGTACTATTTAATTAATTTATAAGGAACTCGACATCTTGAGGAGACGAGTTTTATTAAAATAATATTAGTTTTCAGTTATTTACTTAATTTGGAAATTGAAAATTAAATCGAAGCGGCTAATTCCTTTAAAATGATATTATTTAATTAATATTATTTTTTTAGTTTTTTTCATGGTTGTTTTCTTTTTAATATTATATTTAAAAAAGGAAGTCGTAATGCTAAGATTACATGATTTGAGTGATCATATTCGGTTGTTATTTTTATCTTCTTAATGTGAAGAGTTCGAACAGTCATACTGATATATGAATGAAAAGTTAAACATATTGTAATAGATTTTGTTTAAAAGAACAACAAACTATAAGCATCAAATTAAATCATTAAACATTATATTATGGATATAAAAACAACGTAAATAGGACTAACGTTACACACATTTTAAACGGTAAATAAAATCATAAACATATCAATATTCAATATGATGTTTAAATCTTCGTAATCAGTAGACTCGTCAAAAGTAATATAAAGTTATTCAATTCTTCATGTTTTTTCTTGTTGTCGTTCACGCACAAATTGAAACCATGCTTCTGAGTCTCCATCATTTATGTTTGTTTCTTCATCATTTGTCTGAGTTGGTGGGATGATCAAGTTGGAAGTAACATCCTCAACCATACGAGCAAGGTCGAGATCAACGAACTCTACAAACAAATCAACATTAGGCAAAGAATGATAGAAGTATGTCTTAATCATACATCATCCCTTAGATGAAACCTCGTACATGATAGTGAAAACCTATAGTATAACAAAGATATTTTTTTACTGCTTCCAAGTTGAACCCTTGTTTGTATATTGAACTTCAACTAGTCTAGTTGAATATTTTGTTCGAAACACATGGTTAAAGATTTGCAATAATAAAATACATTTGCACGAATAATTGTCATGCTCGCAAAAAAACTTAAGCTTTGGCAGTGAGACTGAAGTTTTTTTTAGATTTTTTAGCATTAATTATAGTGGCATCAATCCATAATACATTTGGTTATATTCCCGTCTTACTACAAGTTGTGGATAGCGAAAAGGAAAGCTATGACACTATTATACGTTGATTGGGATCAGTCGTACAATGAGCTTCCACATTTGTTGCACGTAATGAAATTCTTCATCCTAGGAACCATTTTTTGCTCTTATACTTATCCTGCGACCACGTTTGATGGACGTGTTATCCCAGGAAAAAGAGTTTCATAGGCTTGTTTTGGGCTTTGAAGTCATCCATTGAAGGTTTTTATTACTACAAACAAATAGTTCAAGTGGATGACATTCTTCTGTATGGTATATACAAACACGTCCTGATGATAATTTTTGTACAAGATGGTGACAGAAACATTTTTTTTTCATTGTCGTTGCCATTGTAAAAAAAGAGTCCGAAGAAACATGGAATTTCATTATGTCAAACTTGTACTTCCATGTTGTCACTCAAGATGGGGTTTGTATGATCTCAGACTGTTCACCTAAGTTGTTAGCCACAATTGCAAGACCATGAAGTAAGTGTTCGCCTCCCCATGTATTTCCGACATATTGCATACACCATATCGCTTTAAATGCTATGACGCGATTTAAGAATAAGAAGATCAAGAAAGAGATTACAACGTGTTTAACTTATTATTTTTTTTCCTTCATTTATTATTATACTTAAATCTAACTTTTTTCAGGATATGCTTTACTACAACCGAACCTTCGTGCAAGGTTGAAAAATATGAGAAAATATAGAGAAGTGGTTTATATAACTTTGCAGCTGAACACCTCGAGAAAAATGGTCACAAGCATATGGCGATCAGGGTCGATGTTACGATCATATGAAAACCAATCTTGTCGAACGTATCAATTCAGTGCTTAAAGGGACTAAACATCTTCTGGTGGTAAGTATTGTTCGGAAAACTTACTTTAGATTGGGTAAAGTATGGACAGACAAAGGTGCCCAAGTAGAGGCAATGCTCAACTAAGGTAGAAATTGGGCTCTATATCTGGAGAAAGCAATGAACAAAAATAAACATATACAACATCAATGTATGTTCATAATTTCACCATACTCGATTTCGATTACATTATCCAAGCACTTGTTCAACCACATGAGGGTGAGAATTCTGCCACTTACACTGGTAATCTAAATAGAAGATGGTGTAATTGCGGTCAATTTCAAGCCTTCAGATACCCATGCGCTCACATGGTTGATGCATGTATACATGTGAATGTAGACCAATACTCATGCTGATGATTGTTATAACTTGCATACTACGCACAACATATACAGTTTTAACTTTAAGTATCTCCTAAACGCTGCATATTTATAACACCTTTATCCTGTATACATCCTTATATACGAACTAGAGATGTCACATCAACTGTATGAAACATATACTATTCAAAATTCGTTAAAATTTTGTTTCGTTCATAAACTTGGTAATTATAATGAAAAACACTAAAAATATAAATATACTTATATTAAATTAAAATACTATTCAAATAAAAATTATAAAATACTACTTACCATACTTAATATTACTATATTTTAATTTATATTATAAAACCATATTTAAAGCATATATCAAAGCGTTTAAAACACTTATATTATACATGTCACTACATAAACAAAATACCAAAATAGATGTCCTTATTGATTTAAATAGTAGCTTGATTTTCTTGGGATTATGTTAATTTGCTCCCTACTTGGCAGCCTTTTCTTTTCATTTCCTTACGTGTGAACCGATTACACGTTAAGTATTTATTAAGTGAAACGTCATTAAAATAAAAATAAATCTAAACAAATATACTAAATATCATATAAAAAAACATGTATGTAGAAATAAATAAAATAATAGTTAAAATGCATAAAATTAAACTATTCAAAATAATTCACGTAAAACATGTAAGAGTAAATCAAGTATCCGAGTAACTCATACTTTTCGTAATCATATAAACTCGTAATAATTCATACTTGTAATTATACACAATGTTTTATAACCGATAATATTAGGTACGCGAGTCTTGTCAAGTGTGCGTGCTATATGCACATAAAAAGTGCCTCGTAGATCTAGTATTGCACTTGAAAGTGCCTCGTATTAATGCACTCGAAAATGCCTCATAGGATTGCACCATAGGTTCCATATATACATATATTATATAGTCACTCAACCTCATGATATGACATTTGTACCTCACACTCTCGAATATACACATTGGGTTTTTATTAAAATTATAACATTCACATGTAAATTCATTCGAACATATAACAAAAATAAAATATCAGAAGAGCATGTCTAGTGAAATTCATATTTAGAAACATCTAAACTCGGTATAATGAAATTATATAAAAATATAATTTCTAAGTACGTTTTTTTAAATATTTCTTTTAAATAACTTAGGTCGACTCATCGTAAGTCTTCCTCATCGTATAAATATATATAAAATAAGTTAAACACACTCACTTTTGCCTCATTAGTAAATATCAGTGTCGATTTTACTTTTACTCCGATCATTTGCATTTCTCTTTTTGTTCGGGTTGACTTTGGTTGCAATCCCGATCTATCCAAAATAAATTATCTGACAATGAAATTCAAAACATATGTCAGTACATATTAAGCATGTGTTCGAATAAATTCAAAATATAACAAATACATATTCAAATGCTAATTTCTAAATACTTCCTCCCTAGTCTTTGAAAATAATATTCCTTAACTTTAAACCACTTAACTTTCACAATTTATCAATTAGCTCCCAATTAAACATTTATTTATTTTCCACCCCTACATTTCGAAATTCTCCCAAAGCAATCCTTTCATGATCACCTTCATGCTAATTTAACCCTTACATTCACCATTCTTTCATAACTTCCAGCTTAGCACTTCAACTTTATATATTTGCATTTCCATCACTAATTATTTCCAATACCTTTCAAATTGATCTTCAATCTTACACCACTTTCCAAATTAGCCCAATTCCACGTTATAACAATAATTTCCAGCATTGTATATCAATTTTCAAAAGCTTACATCTTAATCTTTTAACTTTTCAAACCTTGCAAAATGGCCCCTAACAACTCAACCAAGATCTAGTTTATCCAAATCATCATTTCAAGCATACCAAATCATTTTAATACTCAATCTAACCCATAGAACATTTTTGTAAAATTTTCCAATAACTCCTCACTATGGCCGAAAATCACATATTAATCCCCTAATAATCTCCAATTTGTTTTCAAGCTTAATTCATCATCCAACCTTCATTTCTAATCATTTCCAACCATTCTAAATCAATTACACATCAAAATAAACCAAGAAAATTTTCCTCCTTAAAACTCATAGTGGCCGAATACCCATATAGGCCCCTCTAATTAGTTTTATTCATTTTCCTTGCTTGATTCTAATTCCACACTACTAACACTTTAATCCAACCTTATTTCATTGAACTTACATCTTCTCTTCATTCACCAAAATCACACTTTTCATCATTCAAGCATGAAACTATGAAATACTTATACCAATTTGTGGAGAAACTAGTGTAGATGATTTTTCTTATTTCATAATTTAGTCCTAAAACTCAATAAAATATATCAAAAATGGAAAAGAAAATTTTTACTCACCTTGCTATGTAGTTTCCGCCAGCTGATGAAGAAGAAATGAGAATTCTTGAAGTTTCATACACAATATCTCTTACTTCTTACTTTAAAAACCAATTAAAAATGAATAAAAAAATCAATTTGGCCCAAAAGTCAATATTACCCTTAATGAATCTTAAAATTTACCTTCATGCCATCCATTTGTCTCCAATTAAATGACCTTAAATAAATATAAAAATCCTATTTATCACTTTTCATCTTTTCCCTTCCAGTTTTCTAAAAATTTAATTTAGTCACTAAATTTCACTATTCTACTTTTACGTGAAAATTCCACAAAAATACACTAATCCACATCAAATTCCACTAATTAAAAATATCAATATAATATTTCTAACCACAAACTACATTCCTTCAATGTTTTGTAAGCTTTTGATTCGATTCGATTATCTGAATATTTTATCGAACTTTATCCTTTAATAGATTTTTATACAAACTCCAAATCAAAATTCTAAAACCCACTAAAATTCTATTTTTGGGTTGAACTACTCATTTACTGTCCAACATTTAACTTTAAAAAATTATATTTTTTTAGTCACTTTTATAAATTTATATTTTGGTCATTAAACTTTTAAAAAACTTACATTTTAGTTACTAGTCCAAAATTTAGGATATTACAATATTGGCCAACAACTATTTCTAAAGAATGGTTGTGCAATCCACAATTACAAAGGAAGTTAAGTGGTTGTCTAAAATCTAGTCGAATTCATACTAATAAGGATAATCCACAACGAGAGCAAGGCATGTCAAGGCTTTGTGGCTACTGTAGAGGTGAAGGTCACAATAGGATACATTGTCCACATCTTTCAAAATATTGATCGGACTGATAAAACCTTCGTAATTGTATTCTTATGTTGTCTGTTGGACTTGTTTTTGGATAATTTATCGAACTTGTTTTTGGATAATTTATCAATATCAATAACAATCTTTAACTTTTACTTTTCATATATCTTTCCACAATGATCTTTCGGAAATTTTCTGAAATATTATTCCCACATATGCATGATTTGGTTTTCATATAACTCTATGAGTTCTAACAGCTACCAATATCTACTTTTCAAATATTTCTAATCGGCTATCAACAACTACTTTTCAAATATTTCTAAACGACTATATATTTTTAAAAAATAATATTATTTTAACGAAGTTTGTCACCTTGAAGTGACATAGGGGTGTTCAAACAGGTAATTCGGTTAACCGACCGAACCGAATTACCCGAATTTCATTAACCGATTTTTTTCTAAAAAAAATAATCGAACCGAACTAATTGATCGGTTAAGCGAATTAACCGAATTAATCAAAATTTATAAATAATATATATTAAATATTAAATATTAAATATTTAATTTTTTTGGTTTATTCGATTAATTTGGCCGGTTAATTCAATAAAAATGAGTTCAAACACCCCTAAAGCTAAATAATATATATATATATATATATATATATAATATTAAATATTTAATAATTTTAGTTAATTCGGTTAATTAACCGATTTTGAACCGAATTAACCGAAACCTAAATTTGAAAAAACCCATTAACCGTTAACCGACCGATTAACGGACTGAAATTTCGGTTCGGTCAATTAATTTGGTTTTAACCGAACAATGAACACCCCTAACTTGACAAGTTCCAACTTTTTTTTTCAATTTCTAATTTAAGTAAATAACTGAAAATAGTATTATTTTAATAAAACTCGTATACTCGAGGTGATGAATTCCTCATAAATTAATTAAATAATATACACAAAATATAATAATATCATCTACAGGAACTCATCACCTCGATGTGACGAATTCTCCTTGTATTATAGAAAATATCGTATATCCCAAACTAAAAGTTTGACGCTCTATTTTGCAATTTTTTTTGGGCGGCCATATTGAAAGAAAAAAACAAAACAGGACAAACATAAGTATAATTTTGTATCCGTTTTATTCCCATTTGTCTGCATTATCTTATCCTTCCAATATATATAATAATAAACATATTTAAAAAAAATAATTTTGATAACATTTGTATTGCAAGTATTAATTGGTTTTTTGAAATTTTTGTATTTCGTGTTATATTTAAAGACATTGATGATTATTTATATTTAAATATTATATAAAAGTTATTTTTATTTTTTATATTTTATACTTCATAAAAATTAGTTATATTTATTTAATTGATACATATAAAATATATTATTATATAAAATGAATTGCAAGATGAGTATAACGGAGATTAAATAGATCTTGAGAGGAACAAAATAATTTTAATATCACAGATTGTAAAACGAGAATGATTTTAGATTTTGTACTTGACAACCCCATTGGAAGCATTCCAAGCAGAGATTGAAAGTGGTGATACATAAATTGCTCCCAATACATTACATTTCCTCATTTCATTGTAAATTACTCTTCAACAAAATGAAAACCAAAATTGAGTTCTAACAATGAAAGTAACGTTTAACACTGGGTTTCTTTAAACAAAACTGAATCCATCTTCTTTATATAGTCTTTAAGATGCCTCTGCAGATCCCGGGTTGGTCTTGGTAGTTTCACTGCTCCCAGCATCATTGTTTTCGACGGTTTCACTGCTCTTGGAGCTTTCACCAGCAAATACTTTAACCCTTTCTGACGAGTCTCCCTGTTCAGGCTTTGCACCTGGGCCAGCAGATACTTTAACCATCGATGGCCGCAACAGCCTGTCTCCGAGCTTGAACCCTTTCCGGAATTCTTGAAGAATGATACCTTCTTCAAATTCAGCAGAATCCTCACGCATAATCGCTTCATGCAACTTTACAAGAGAAGACACAATACAATTAGTAAGAAAATTGTCAAAACGTTGATAAGCAGTGCACGGAAAATCTAGTGTTCATATCAACATATCCAATCATAATACACGTAAACTCAACGAGTCAGCTTGAATCAATCAAGACTAGGTTTGCATTTACGTATCATGATTCACAAAAGCCCATCCAGTAAAATGAAGTCTGATTATCATAGCTCGCAAGTGCACAATTGAAAACGTTGATTTACTAAGAAATATTTAGTAAAATTTTTCATGCCTAGAAAAGGTTGGGAGAGCAAAGAGTATTTGTGTAACAAGTATTAACTCACCATTGGATCAAAGTGATTTCCCACATTTTTGACAGGTTCAACACCGAGTGAGCCCAAAATTTCCATAAACTGCTTGTAGATGCTCTGGTAGCTGTTATTGATCTTCTCTTCTCCCTCTGTCTCAACCTTAATTTGCGCTTTGGCTCGTTCAAAATTATCCAAAACAGGCAACAAATTTTCCAGAACCTCTCCCTGGGTATTACTTACTAATGAAAGGCGATCTCTCTCTGTTCTCTTACGAAAGTTGTCAAAGTCGGCACTAATCCTAAGAATCCGATCCTTCTCGATCGACAATTCTTCTGACAAAGAAGTTATTTTCTTTTCAAGTTCAACTTTCTCGTCTTCAATGGAATTTAAAAATTCTTCTATAGCGGCAACTTTCGACTCGTCATTACTAGCCAAAGCTTCTTTGTATGTTAGGAGCAATGATGGGATAGATGAAGATGGGATGTCTTCAGAATCACTACTCTCATCTCCAGTGGTGTCCTCTTCAACGTTGACAGCACCATCCAAAGAATCCTGTATATATATCCATCATGATGAAAAATGTGGCCACAAATATGTCTCTGACACAGCAATAAAAGATAACCACGTAAAGAAAATATTGAAATAAAATCAAACCATACGGAAATCTCTACATCCCTGAATAATTAACCTTATGCCAGTGATCACAAACAGTTCAATCAGGTTAAGGAACAGGATAAATCAACCCTAAAGAAATCATATCATGCAATAATAGTTGGAAATTTTCAAAGTCGAATAGTCAATCTGATCTTAGTACTTTGTCAGGAATGAGGATCATTTTTAGCATGCTGGGATACAAACTTGCCAGCAAGGCATAGAATGTGCTGTATTTTTAAGTTTTAACACTTCAAAATACAATTTCATCAAGGGGAGGGGGACGATAGAAGGGTTCAAGTACTGCACTTTTGGACACAAAAATAACAAAAGAATTGTTGAGTCGATGTGATTAAAACCCACTTTTTTATCATACCTCACTACAGAGCACCTCCAACAAGTGTCTGTTAGTAGGGGCAGTGTTGGTTCTCATTTAGACTAGCTAGTCACTACCACACATTAGCAAGTAAATATCGAGTCCAGAAAAGAGTAAAACCAAAGGACTTGGATAAATTATTTGTAACATAGCAACCTATAATTTCCAGAAATATCAAACCCAGAATAAACATTTTGTCATCAAAGTATTCAGAAGTCAAAACCATATCTTTTTAGAGATATTCATAGGTAGCTTTGGCTTTTGAAAGAGAGAACCATCAATTGTTACATAGTGTCAAATCACTAAACCTATGTTACTTTCATCAACAGAAAATAACCAACCACCGGATTAGACTAAATTTTAATTAAAAAAAATCCAATTCCAAGACGAATAGCATTGAACCAAATACAAAGTTTGATGTTGTCAATTCAGATTTACAGCTAGCTCATGAACATCACCATAGTTCTCGACCATCTTTCTGATCTTGGAGGCCTAAAATATAAAAAACCTCGAATTCATTGCTAGGTTTCATCCATTCTCCCCTTCCACTCAACACAAACGATTGCTTGTTCGTTAGAATTATCAAATAATTTGATTGGATTCTATTATCATTCTAGATTTATCCATCCTAATCCCAAAACCAATCAATACTTGACACTGGCAATATACACTAATAATAATAGAAAGCTAAGACAGCCAATATAAGGGAAAATATTTCCACAATTTATTTTACTTTCAAACTATGCCATCATGTCTACTTGAACATGGTGTCGGGAAAAAAATATTAAAAATTAACAAACAGTCGATGTAGAACAACTAGGATTCTATCTCGCAAGTCAACCAATAAAGAGAGAAGATTTTCGATAAGAATTCCTTTGATACATCTAAATTCTATAAACTATCAAGTCACAAAATTTTAGCTCATTTCCGACATTTCAACCATTCAATTCCAAAACCCAGAAATATTTTCGTCAAATTTACAAGAAAAAACTAAACCTAAAATGAAGGCCAAAGGAATCAAACCCATACACTTGAATCCGTAAAAGAAGTGCAACCTTGTTCAGAGAAAGTTAACAGTTACCTCAATTTGAGCTTCTTGTTGCGTCTCAGTGGTCTCGGTTTCACCGCCATTATTAGCAAAAGTAACCAACTTCACGAACCGAAGAGAAGGAGTGGATCTGAACCGGAGGACACCGGTTCTACGAGGAAATCTCTCTTTGAAGCAGACATTAAAGGGCTTTGGAGGGTTTAAGGAATTGGGTCTTAGAGATGGAGATAGAGAAGAAGGGCACTTAAACGGCGGCGTCTTGAGAAGAATAGCCATGGCAGGCAAATGAAAGAGTCTTTGAGATGGCAGAGAGTTGAAGAGAGAAGCGGAGGACGATGGGCAGGCAGACCGAGTGCCGAGTGTAAAGATAAACAGGATGGTGGGGATTGATTTTGACCGTTGGATGATTGTTTGGTATGCAGATCGGAGGGTGGTTGAATAACCGATGGAGAAAAGAAAAAGAAGAAACTTCTGGCGTAATCTACAATTAGTGCAGATATGAAATGATGTTAGTATAATATTATTTTAGACCTTATAATTAGTACCACATGAAGTGATTTAATATAATGTTATTTGTTTCTGATATTTTTATTCTATATATTATTTTTAATTGAATTAAGTTGAAATAATTTCTTTAAAAAAGTTGAAATAATTAATGTCAATTAATCCAAGTATTTAATAATATAATAAAACTTATTAAGTGTCTAAGTTGATTAATTGGCTATAATTTTCAATGAAAAAGATCAATTTTTTATATAATCAATTTTTTTTAAAAATAAATTATTACCATAATATTTTTAAATTTAATATCATTTAATTATTTTAAAAATATTCAAATATAATTTTTTAGACATACACTTATAAGATGAATGGGATTATTGACAAAATTTGAAATCTATAATGTCTGTTATAAGATCAAAACTAATGCAGGAATCATCCCATTTTCCAGATTTTGATGAATGCAAATATGCACAAAGCTTATCAACTGGAGAAAGCAATTGCCTTAAACAACAATACTTAATCCAAGTAGCATATAAAATAGTTGATGACACAAATAAGGGAATAAGATTTCCTAAACATTTGCAGAATATCCAAATCAAAATATATATCAGCAAATCCACTATGGAAGCTGTTCTCAACCTGGGGGCATTCTACTATCCTATCTCTCCTTACCCCATTACATATGGGAATAAGGGTAAGCCATTTTCTTTTCTCGGATCCAACAAAACTTACACTGGAGAACCCGCGCATATACCAATGACACCTCAAGTTCAGCTCCAAGAAAACCTTCATGGCATCGCTGAGATTTAGACGGTGCTTCAAGAGCCAATGGGAATAATCTCTTGATATCTGATGAACATCCAATTCCAAAGCAGCGCAAGCATGGTATGTCACTGCAAGATGTAAATCCCATTGATATCTCCAAAATACCTATGAGTCTCAAGCTGATGGTGCTCACTTGGTGTCAATGACATCAGCATCATCTGAAAACTTTCCTTCTCATCATTGAAATACAATGATTCGTTTCTGTAACTATTCCCAATGAAATCTCCCATTATAGAAAACTACATCACCAAGGCCATGCGATTACCTTTGACCTCGAAAACAAATTCGGATACTTTCCAATAATTCGTTTCAGACACATATAAATCCATCTCAAACATGTAAGGATTCTTCGACACTTCCTGAACAACAATGAGCTTATAATGAGGTGATTTCAGAGGATCAAAAGCCAAACTAACAAAAAACTTATTATCTTTAGGGTTTCTAGGAAAAGATAGCTTCTTAAATTTCTTCGTAGTCGGATTGCAGATTAAATAGCAAGAGACATTGTTGTTATTGTCCTCATCGTCACCATCAACAGTGACGGATTCAGAAATATTTTTCGGAGTGTGCACACATATATATTAATCACATAAAATTTTGATAAAGGGTGGACACAACTAAAATTCAGGGTGGATACACTCTTCACTACTAAAGTAACAATGATAAATTCCATCTCATATTTATAGATTTTGGTGTTTATTAGATTGTTGATACATGTCAAGATTTTAGATATCAATCTTACAAATGTTGATAATCTTTTATAGATAATTATGGATGTAATATCAAATATTAAAAATATCAACATTATTTTACGAATAATTTTATATATGTATTATTTTCATATTATTTTAGAATATTCTCAATATATATCTCGTAAATGATGATTATATATTTATATAGCGGCTTTCCAGCATTGGTATTTCTAATGATTAAAAGTGAAAAACTTTTATTTTAAAATAAATAAATAAATAAATAAATTGTACAAATTACTTTTATTTTGATACTATTAATTCTTCTCCATCGTTGCTTGCGATCGCACGCCGATAAAGCTTTTGTTTTCGTATTCGTTAGATATATGATATGCTTGACAATATATCTTAGGGCAGTCTCTCTATCTTAACTTGAGTTTATTCTCCTGCTTCCCCAGTAGGATGAGGCGACAATGTCGATCGTGTAATGAATTTAGAATTGACTTTGAAAAGTAAAAGTGCAATTTAAAATTTAATTGTTTGGGATTGTTGTTAAAAAGTAGGTTTGAAAAGATAAAATGTACATTATAGACATTATGTTGTAAACTAAAAATATATAATTTAAAATATATTTATACTTATTAATACTATGATATATGAAATATTTCAACTTAAATTATAATAAAAATATAAAAAAATATAAGATAACTCATTAATAATATTTTTATAAATAAAATATTTTATTAAGAAAAAATATATTATTAATATTTTTTAATATATGGATATAAAATTATTACGAAATAATAATTTAATTACTTGTTTTGACAAAAAAGAATATTACCAAAAAAATACATTAATACTCACAAAATTAAAGTAAATTTATTAAAGTGAATTTAACATTTGAATTCTAAGATAATATTTTAATCATTTCAATTCAACCACAATAACTCTTTTAAAATTTAAAATAAAATAATTTAGGGTTAACTACACGAATGATCACTTATATTTGTATTTTATCCATTTTTTGTCAATGGTTTCAAAAAACATAAAATATAGTCACTTTCATTTTTTATTTAATTAAAATATAGTCACTTTATTTTTATTTAATTAAGATGTGCGAGACAACTTGTTGTTAACAATTAATAGAATACGTGACGTGATGGTTGGTATAATCACACACTTTATCCATGTTATTTACATATTCTCTCAATTTAATCATACTTTTAAATAAATTTTAATATAAAATATATATTTTTAAATGAAAAATGTTTTTAAATTAAGTTAATAAAAAAAATATTTAATAAGTTAATATACAAAAAATATTATTAATTTAATTATTTATACACTAAGATGCAAAAATATATATATCATGTTGTCTAATTTAGACCAAACAATAATCTTGGCTTAAGGTTTGATTCATGTTTAGTTTCCTAAGTGACCAAGGTTTGAATCTTTCTTGCCCCAATTTGCTTTCCTTTGGTTTCTTTCAACAAAAGAGTGACACATTTCACTCTTTGATTGGTGGAAATAAATATTTAAAAATTAAAATTAGTCCTTCAATCGAATGGTGACACATGGCATGACATGTGACATCATTCGATTTGAGGATTAAATTTATTTTAATTTATTAAAAGTATGACTAAATTGAGAGAATATGTAAATAATAGATACCAAATGTATGATTATATCAAAATATTTAACTGTTATTAACGAAAGTTAACTCGGGGTGACACATTTTAATTAAATAAAAACGAAAGTGATCATATCTTATGTTTTTTGAAATCAGTGACCAAAAGTGGACAAAACACAAACATAAGTGATCATCCGTGTAATGAACCCAATAATTTAAATTATATATTTATACTTTTAACCATTCAAAAATATATATATATATATAATAAATAAATTCAAATGAAATTATTATTATATATGAAATATATATATTTAAACTATAATAAGAATATAAAAAATAAAAATAAAAATAAAATATAATTATAATAAAAATATATTTTATAATAACTCATTATTAATATTTTAATATATAAACCATGAGTTTTATTTACTTTTAAATAATTAAAATAAATTATTAAGTAATAGATTATTTTTTAAGGATGTTAATATTAAATTATTAAAATAAAAATGTAAATAAATAATTAAGTTGAGTCTATGCATTAGTAAGGGGTAAAATTATAATTGCTCTCAAAACGTAAAGTTAAAAATGAAAAACTATGAATCTTAGCTTTTTGTGGTTAATTTTCTACTATTATTTTTTTTATCCATTTGACATTAATTTTACGCTCGAGACAATTTTTTTTAATTAAGAGTTACTTTTAAAAAACCGCTCTAAAGTGATTTGCCATAAATATGTACAAAAAAGTCGGTTGGAAACTCAATTGCCCACAACTTTGCTTCTGGCTGCTCTTTAAACCCTATCATTGATTTTGTTGCTGCAATAAAATTTTATTAAGAGCAAAAAAAATTAGATATAATATAACATCAACACATATATATAATCATCAATATATCAAAATTATGTGTGGCAAAGAATTATATGTGCATTTATTTATTATAGATTTTTTTTTCCAAATATTATTATGGACAAACAAATGAAAAATGAGGTGGTCATAGAGGTAGCTAAGGTAAGAAAATAAATAAAGGAGTTGGTTATATATGGACAAGCAAATACATGATTTGATTTTCCTTTTAAGAAGTGGACTGGAATGAGTCTGGATCGGTTTGTAATTTATTTTTATTGTTTTAAACAATAATGTTTATATTAAATTTACAAATATTAAATAGATTAACTCAATTTAATCTGAATTGGAAAAAAAAACTTTAAAACCATCTTAGGCCCTGATCAAGTACACAGTTAAATTATTACAATAAAATCTTCCATGTGGTAGATGGATAAGTTGGTTATTATTATCATTTACTAGAGTTTATTTAAGCCCCTTCATCAGATATAAAGTAATTTCCCATAAATATGTACAAATAAGTCGTTTGGAAACTCAGTTGCCCACAACTTTGCTTTGGCCTGCTCTTTAAACCCATATTTATGTTACGGACATTCATCATTGATTTTGTTGCTGCAATAAAATTTTATCAAGAGAAAAAAACTAAATTATAATATATATAACATAAATTTCAATGTTATAGGAAAAATTAACAAATTTGGTTCGTCAGTGGTGAATAGTTATTTTTGTTTAAATTTTTCTATTAATCTAAGATAAATATAAAGTAATATTTATTTAAATATAACTCTTGATCTTTTGACACCGAACGCTTACACTCTTAACATTTATGTTAACAATAATTCATTTATCACCGA